TTTTACCTTGAAGAGATAATTATGTTCTCAGACCGGTGCTCCCCGGGGGACTTGACGTGTCACCCATCTGTGGCATGATAAAGATGCTATAATTGTTAGGAAAACCTCTGAATTTTAATAGATGCCAAGAGATCAAATGAAAGAACATGTAGAACGAAAATATCAAAACAAACCATCATGAAGTTACAGTACTACACTAAATGTGTACAATGGAGGAAATATGACACATACTATACTACTAACAAAAAGCGCCAATATTGTAACCAGATGATGCAATAATCATCATGAGCTAAGAAGTGGTGATGGGACAAAATGATCAAACTGTGCATCATTTACCTATGCATGTATATTCTTCAACCAATATGTTGTCTATGCAATATACACAAAATAATAATCTGATTTCTTTATCAGCATGGTACATATTGTGTCTATCATCTTAACACAAAACACTACAATATATGAATAAATATATTGCAAGATTGACATCCTTTAGATTGCTACCTAAAAATATGGTTGAGTTTTTGTACTGTTGGCAAAAGGTGCAACTAAGCAGAGAATCATATACAAGGATATATAATCCTATTGACTCTGCAATACTAGGACAATGAAATGGTGAAAGAAACTCATGATCTACAGGGTCTGCAGTTGCCTCAATCTGTGAAGGTCCTTAATCAAAAGCAAACTGCACTGGTCCTATATATGGCAATGTGAAAAGCATACCGGTTAGAAATCATTATTTTATAGAATCTCACATATGTCTTTTCCTTTCTAGATCCTTTCTCCTTGTCCTGCTCCCTGAGCACTTCTTTGCTGGCAACCCCTGTTTATTTCTTTGACAACCCCTGTTTTGCATGACAACATTTCCTCTTCTAGCAATTGGTCTGCCTTGTTGCATGAGGGCAGAACCAATAACTTGACCTGATGCATCTGTTTAAAAAGTAAATGGTAGTGTTAAATAAGGCAAATCCATAACAAGAGCAGTTACCAGACAATTCTTCAATGTTGTGAAGGCCTCAATTTGAAGCCTCAATTTGAGGCCTCAATTTGAGCATCTGACCACTTGAATGAATGTTTTTTTAAACAACATGCCCTAAATACTCAACTTGTATTTGTGAAACTAGAATTCAATTTCTGAATCTTTTTTTAGACAACTAGAACTCAATTATGTATGTGCATATACGCCTTATTTCCAGCAAATAGATAGTTGTCATGTTACACGTCTGTACTTTTCAAACATTCTAATTAAGAGCAATGTAGCAGAATAGATTAACTTAGTTCTTCTTTGTGTACTAATTCATAGGAGGATGACGATGATGTGGGGTATGACATGGATAGCAGGCACAGCAAGAGCCGCTACATCATGAGGCAGCTAGTTGCTAGAAAAATCAAGTACCGTTTCTATGGGAAGCTTGGCTGCTCCTTCTGTGGCAAGGCGATCAAGGGCGGCATAAATGGCTTGATGTACCATGTCGTCACCATTGGCAACTCCTACAAGAGGGATCAAAAGGCCAGTACTCTGGCTAAGCATGCGGCCTACGGGCGCTTCCTACAGATTATCAAAGTCAATGAGCCTTACTACATCCCGCCGCGCCGCCGCTGAATACGGGAGACAAGTGATGTGCTGCTAGACTCCTGCTGCTGCCCCAGGACCGCCATGTCCTTTTATGTTATCGGTATTCACTGGTCGACTCTAAAACTTATGGTCTATGGTGTGTAAGAACTTATGTCCTATGTTCTATGGTGGGTCTGAACTTATGGTGTGCGGTGGTTAAGCAGCCGTTTATCTAAGTGTTTGCTACTAATCTGCTTAAGTGGTCTAAGTTATTATTAGTACTATGTTGTTGATGCATGTTAGGCATTGTACAATGGTAGATGCTAAGGGTGGTGGTTAGAAAAATAAACTGGGTTTTTCTGAAGCACCATTGCCTATTTGTACAGGACAGATGCCTAGTTAAGCGTCTACCCTGTACAAATAAGCACCGGTGCTTAAGAAAATCCTGGTTTATCTCTCTAAACACCTCGCCTAATCACCTAGCATTGTACAAGGCCATAGCAACTCAAGTATCGTACGGTGGTCTATGTTATGTTTGATGTGTTAATTATGTCGTTCTAGAATCGTACGGTGATGCATGCTAGGAACTCTACTACTATGACTGGTAGTTATAGCTTGGCATGATTTTGTTCAGTTTATAACTCAGGATGTTCCAATCATATCTATGAACAGTTACAACTGAACTATGAATTAGTTTTTGCCAACAGTAAAGCATGCAAATGATTGACAATTCTACCTATTGCAAATTGAAGCTTTGTACTGAGGATGAATTAGTTATTGCAATAAGTAGAGGATGCTCATGTTTCCCAAAAGTGCCTGTTTCCACTTTCTAGAAAGAACTGAACATGTAACAAATTATGCCAAGAGTAGAGCGTGAGCATGAACATGTATCAATTGCTGCTTCCTATTTGTGTTTGAATGGGCTCAACATATCTGGTGATGGTTTAGGGTGTCTGCGTGACCGTGATGATAACTCTGGATGTCCAACCATATCTATGACCAATTATAACTCAACTATGCATTAGTTCTTGCCAAAAGTAAAGCATGCAAATGATTGCCAATACAACCGTATTGCCAATTCAATTTTTGTACTGAGGATACATTAGTTATAGTAGTAAGTAGAGGATGCTCATGATTGCCAAAAGTACATGTATCCACTTTATGATAAGAACTGAACATGTATCTAATGATGCTAAAAGTAGAGCATGAGCAAGATCATGTATCAATTGTTGCTTCCTATTTGTGTTTGAATGGGCTCAACATAGCTGCTCATGGCTCTGCGTGACCGTGATGATAAAAAAAACATTTGTTTGGCTATGGTCTTGCTGTCAAGTTTAAGTTTGAGTTCTTCGAGGCTTTTCTCCATTACGAAGACTTTTATCTGAAACTGATATTGCTGGCTCGGATGCAATGATGCAAACTGGGTCAATTAATCTGAAGACAATATTTAAAAGATGTATAACAAAATTACAGTCAACTAATATTAAAAAAATAAGTGGGTCATTTAACATATGATCCACTTATGAGTTTAAGCACACAACCTAGTTGGTCGTGCATAAAATAAGCGCAGTTTAACAAGGGTATCCAATTGCTTAACCACGTGAAGTTGTGCAAAACCTAGGAGGGTTCAACTACTAAAGGAGCGGCCGACAACGATTAAAAAAAGCTACAATCAGGAAATACCTTCTCTCGGAGACGACGGCACGGAGGTGATGTTCGCGGATAGTGTGTGGCAAACTAGAAGTGACCCTATAGCGTGGTACACGGCGGCAAGGATAAACGGAGGGGGCGGCGAGAAGAACACTGAAGTCTGACCCCTCATGGCGGTGGGCGGTGGCCGGCGACTCCTGTAATCCGTGTGAACCCGGCGTCTCCGGTCTGATCTTGCAACAGTCGTGGGAGCTGCCGGTGGCACGGTCGGGTGGTTACAATGAGACGTTGTAATTGCGGGATTTAGGGAGGGGTGGGCCGCGTGAGTTATGTGAGATTCCAATAATATCACAATGATATCCCAAAAAATCTAGTAAATATTGTCCTTGTTTTTTAAGTATTAAAAATGGTTTTCTTGTGTCGCATATTCCCTAAAATGCCATACGTGACAAAACTTGCAATAAATGCCATACATTGTAGTAATGACCGAAAAAATCCCGCATGTGACGAAACTTTCAAAATTTGTTGAAGATGGTTGAAACATGGCAAGTATCCCTAACATGGCCATGACTTGTCATCCTAAAATGTTGGGTTGGTTTCATAAAGGTGAGAAACCAAGCTAGTGCTCTCGGGGTGGTGACATGCTATCCCCGAAAAGCGCGTTCTAGAGAACCTACTTGCGTATACATGCACTAACGATCCAAATTTTTCTGCATCGAATCCCATGACCACATAGAGCATGCATGCATATTCTTTTCATGTTGGGCAAAATTTTGAATGTTTTCACATATACGGAACGAAGATGACCAGTGAACGGCTCTCGGGAGGTTTTATAATTTTTTTAATTTGGATGTGGTGACATGCGTGGGGGGAGGGGGTGGTGACATGCTAGGTTTTCAAGGTTTTATAAATTTTTTAATTTTTTTAAATTTATTCTGCCCTGTAGACTAACTGATCAAAACATCGGTCTACACCTTAAGAGGGAACTATAGGAAAACAAATTCCAAATTTATTTCATAGACATGTTTGGCTCATCTATTTGAGCATGTAGAACAAATTTGGGTTGATTTGGAGGTGGTGAAAAAATTCATCTTTTTTCGACCACCTCTAAATCACCTCAGTTTTGCACACATGATCTGTAAATAACAATGTTTGTCACATGTATGTCATAATGTAAAACAAATTTGGTTTGATTTGGAGATGGTCTACAAATTAACTGCAATATATCAAATTTATTTTAAAATTAAAATTTAATGATGCAAGGTTTTACCTGTTTTTCAATTGTTTTCAAACTTAAACTTTTTACATGTCCAAGAAAGGCAATGTGGCAAGGTTTTAAATGTTTTTCATTGTTATCAAACTTAAACTTTTCACATAAGACACGTGTACATAAAAAAAGGAAGTGTTATTTTAGTATAAGTCAACATGTCACATAGGCAAAAAAAGATTTTATAGAAAAAAAGCACACCTACCTAACATGATATTTCACACAGCACGGCCCGCATACGACTACAAACCCAGTGATATGGCCCAGGATGCAGGCCCGTGGTGGACTAAACTCAGACGCATGCGCACCCTGCAGTGCACACAGAGCGCGGTTGCCACGACGGACTGCAACTGCGCCCCGCCACTACCCCCACGTCCTAGACGAACCGCCTCCCCCACGTCCCCATCCCAGGCGTGAAAAGCCCCAAATCGACTACATCACTGCCTCATTCTGAGAACCTCCATTTCCGCTTCCATCTCTTCTACAAACAACCCACAACCTACAAACCTCCATAGTCGCATGAGGAGGGCAATGGCGGAGGAAGCGTCTGCCAAGCGTCATTGTGGCCAGACGTCCGACCAGAGCAGCAACCTCGACGTCGTTCACGTTCCCAGTCAGAAGCGCGAGTACACCATAACCCTCAAAGGGGTTGATCTCTGCGGCAAGGAGACACTGGAGGTCGTCTGCACCAGCGTACCAGACAAGGCCGACGAGATGATCGGTAGGATCAGGAGGAGCGCCTGCGGCTCGTATCCTCACATCATCGGCGTTGATGTCGAGTTCACCAAAGAAGATGAACCTCCGCAGATGTCAGCAGTTCTGTAGTTAAGCATGGAGGGTCTCTGCCTCGTGTACCACATCGCTGTGGCCATAAAATGGTGAAAAATCCTACTCATTCACCCTCTTCCATTCATCAATACTGCTCCCTCGAATGTTCATTTGACTAGTTTCCTACTAGATGTACTAGTGTAGTTTGTGAAAATGGATGCACTAGTGCAGTTCCTCAAAGTAGATGCACTAGAGTTTGTTTGGAACCTGATGCACTTGATTAGTATCTGAAATTGTTGCACAAGATTAATTTGTGAGCTTGATGTACCAGTGTATTTTCTTATCTTGATTCATTAGTGTAGTTTCTGAACTTCATGTAGTGAAGTAGTTTCTGAACTTGGTCTGGTGTTATTTTTACCACCAAAAAAACTTAAGAACTTGGTGAAGCAGAGGTATATGTTATTTTATTCAACAAAATAAAACTAAACTGTCACTAAGAAAGCAAATAGATCATTGACTCAACTATATATTCCAAAAAGAAAAATAAGATGGTGTACTTGATTTTAATTTCAGAACTTTGTGTACTAGTTTCTGAAGTACATTCATCCATGACTTATACTGTATAAGCATCTACTCCATGTATTCATCACTTGTAAACCGTAAAAAACACAAGATTAAATCTTGAAAAACAAACACTAGTACTCCATGTATTCATCACTTGTCTCTCCCCTAGCAGGCCAAATCTCCTCAAAGCGTTCAAACAGGAGGAGAAGTTGTTCACCTTTGCCGGTTTCAGCATTCAGAATGACAAGGACAAGGTGAAGATGTCTGGTTTGGAGATAAACCCCAACAAGCATATCGACATTCAGCGCAACTGGAGAGTTCCATACAACGGAAAACAGTACGACTCCTTGGCTGATGTTGCAGCCAACGTCATCCACCCATTCTACAGCAAGATGAAGAAGAAGATCGACAAGAAGGCGGACCATAAACTGTGGGGGGACAGCCCACTGCCAAATTACCTCATCGAGTACGCAACAATAGATTCATAAGCCACCTACAAGTCGTGGAAGATAATCAACAACATCAAAACAGGTCTGGAAATTTCAAAAGAGCACGAAGAGGACCCCTACTACCACTGCCACTATGTGGGATGAGGAGACATCAAAGTCTGCCTTCGTGTTGCTTGCGCTTGTGCTTGTCCTTTATCTTGTTGTTTGTAATTTGTAGTTTGCTTTTCTTGGGTTAAACCAGCTTGTTTATGTCATGTGTGTCAGAGTTGAACTAGTTTGTTTATGTCCTGTTTGTTAGGGTTGAACAAGTTTGGTTATGTCATCAAGTACATAGTTTGCTTATCTTGTTAAATAAGTTTGCTAGCTTCCTATTTTGTTTATCCATCAAAACAAAAATTCAAGTAAATTGTGAATGGAACTCTGCGGCTGCTCTTCAATACTCCCTCCGTAAACTAATATAAGATCATTTAGATCACTATTTTAGTAATCTAAATGCTCTTATATTAGTTTACAGAGGGAGTACTATAGTTATCAAAGGAACTAATCACAGAAGGTTGTGCCATGTGTAGTTTGGGTTCAGAATTGTATGGAAAAGAAAACAATTAGTACAGTTAGAGCTAAACTCCATTAACTGAACCTACGAAAAAGGGTCCCCCAACCCCCCCAGCTTTATACTATAAAGCAACAGCACCAAGCATCCAACAACAAGTCAAGACAGATTCAAGTTCAAGGAAGTCTCAAAACAAGCCCCAAACATAACAAGTTCATTTCACATTGATACATGGCCCATTTACTGAACCTATATATATATATATAGATAGGTACGGTAATACACGACAAGTACTCGGAAACATGAGCTAACATACCAAGTTCATTACACATCGAAACATGGCCCAGCCAGTTCTAAATGAGGTTGATGGTGATCATCATCCTCAAGTCACAGCGACGGGTGTTCGCAAGAGTGAGTAGGATGCCCTGACCTACCCAAAGATTCTTGCCATGAAGGTAATTCTTCCACCCCGCCTGATTGAAGATAGTGCGACCGTCCGTGTCCACTGCGTAGGCACATGTGGTGATGGAGCCCGTTCTGGTAAGGCATAGTCTAGCAGCCATGCCTTCTTCATCCGGCTCGATGCCACAACTATCAGATAACCTCTTAGGTAATTTCTGAAAACAGTTGATATGATATATGAGCATGTCACGTGCAATTATCAACAAACCATACACTTCAAGACACATATGTCACATCACATCACTACACTACACACTAATCATCAAATTACTATAGTAATTGTCAGGGAAACTGATCCACGAACACCTATGGGACCGGCGGGCCGAGCCCCTTTCGGTTCAGCGGGGGGCGGAGGTCGCACGAAGAGCGGATCGAGGCAGTGCACACGAGCAGTTTACCCAGCTTCGGAGCTCTCCGGAGAGATAATACTCCTACTGCTGCTTGTTTGTGTATTCAGTGTTCTTGCTCGAGAGCGATCTCAGCTACAAGACCGAGCGTGGGAGCGTTTCTAGCTTCGAATGAGTCGAACCTCCTCTACGTTGCGCATGGGCCTCTTTTTAGATGCTCAAGGGGTCACCGACAGGTGGCAACGTAGATGAAGGGTAAAAATGGAAAAAGAATGTGGTAGGTACAGCTACCTATACTGTAGACACAGTGTATCATACCTAACCCTGATGGCAGGGGACAAGGGCATTAAATGCCCGTCTGTGTCATCTAAACAGTGCAGGAAGAGACCGTCAGGGCGCCACCGATCGCCACGATGGCCTTCTTGTCAGCGCCGCTTGCCACCGTGCACCCCTGGATGCACAGCCTCCCGCCACGCGTGCCCGGGAGGGCCCCTGAGCGACACGCGGGTGGATGTGCTGGAGCGCGGGTGCGGTGTGGCCGCTTGCCGCGGCAAGTGCCTTGCCGCGGTCGTCGTCTTGTCGGGCCCGGGAGCTTGTCGCTCACCGTCCCTTGCCGGGACGCGTGGCGCGTCGCGGCAAGCTTTCCTGGGATGCCATGTCTGGCCTTCCCGGCAAGCTCCTCTTGCCGGGGCCTTGTCTCCTTGGCTTGAATACTTTGTTCTTGAATGGCTTCCCGGCAAGCTCCTCTTGCCGGGGTCTTGTCTCTTAAGGAGTCACGGAGGATCTTGGCGGTGACCCGGCGAGCCTTGCCGCGGGGTGCTACAACTGCCCGTGCACAAGTTCGGGATACTAGGGTACCCCTACTCTAGTACACCGACAGGAGCCCCCGGGCCTGGGCCACACACGGTGCCGAGCGCTGTTGGGCCAGGCCCAAAACAGGGCACGGGCACACGCGACCTGGGTCGTGCTGTTTCCTACTCCGCATCCACTGCGCCCTCCCCGAACGGCACGCGTTGAATGCGGCATCGTGGGAGAGATCGTGGGTGAATTCTTTATTCTAAAAAGTGTAACGTCCGCCCCCTCCCTCTTTATAAGCAGAGGAAACAGAGGTAGTTGCTCACCTCGTCTGTTTACTACTCCAAAATCTCCGCCGTTCCCCTCTCCTCTGAGAGAGAAGTGCTCCGCCTCCCCATCTCCGCCGTCGCCACCAACGCCATCGACCTCCTCCACCACCTTCGCCATGGCTCCGAAGACCGGGAAGGTCGCGAAGTCGGCCGAGGCGCTGCGGCTCGAGGCGCTGCGAAAGGATCGGGCCACTTTCCCTCCCGAGCTCGACGCGGCGGGGCTGAGGCAGTGGTTCTACCTTCTGGTCGACAGAGACGCGTGCACATCTGCGCAGAAATGTACTCCCCACCGCTGCTTCGAAACGGGCTCCATACGGGTATCCCTTCTTCCCGTTGTTCTTCTACTGTGGCCTCTGTCCGCCCTTCTCGGAGTTTTTCTGTGACATCATGAACACCTACAGGTTTCATCTTCTTGATTTCACCCCCAATGCCGTTCTGACCTTGTCCGTTTTCGCACATATCTGCGGAAACTTTGTTGGAGTCCACCCAAACGTAGCCCTTTTCCACCATTACTTCATGCCTCGGGTCGAGAGAGGAGAGCCACTTTCCGGGGGAATCGCCTGGATCTCGAGGGCCGGCAAGAAGGAGGCGTATCTAGAGGGGGAGCTCCGCAGCAAGTGGGAGGAGTGGAGAGCTGAGTGGTGTTGGATCATGGAGGAGGACCCGCAGCCATTCACCGCCTTGCGCCAAGTCCCAGTAGTGCGCGGCAACGATTGGAGCAGCCTGGCCCCGGAGGACGCTAGGCTGAAGATCGCCGTCACCAGAATCCTGCGCCTCAGGGTTGCCGGGTTGACTGTGGGTGCCATAGGCGCAGACTTTCTCCGCCGCCGCATCGCCCCCCTGCAAGAGAGGAGGAGACCCGCTTGGGAGTTTGGCGGTCCGGCAGATGTCATGAGGCTGCGCCCTGGCCTCAAATTTCAACTTCACCGTGCTGGAGCTGGATGCGATGCTCAAGCAGCTGTTCAAGCATGATCCCCAACATCCAGAATGGTTCAGGTTGCCGGTGGGGGTCGTCCCGCTGTGCAACAATTCTTCCCTCGACCGCATCCGCGCGATGATGCCGCAGTGCGACTCGCATGGTCTTGTCCCAACGTGGCAAGAGCCAGCCGACGAAGTTGTGCAGCAATTCTTCGACGGACTGGTGGAGGTGGCGGTCCGCGCCGACGAGCAGAGGAGCCTCACCCGCGACACTACCGAGGAGGAGATGCAACGCATCACCACCAGGGCGGAAGAGGCGGCGGCAGCTGCTGCCGCGGGTGAGTTCGGGTTCACCGTGGAAGAGGCAGAGGCAGAGGCGGCGGCAAGCCTTGCCGAGCGAGAGTGGATTGATGGCGAGGAAGAACTTGCCGTGCCGGAGGTCGAGTCGAGCGAGCCCGCCGAGGGTGACCCCGCCGAAGGTGCGAGCGGCCTGCCATCTCCAGGCCACTTGCCGCAGGCGGAGCCCACGGCGCAGCCCCCAGCTCAAGTAAGAAGGCGCCTTTGCTGGGGCGGGGACGCAGCGGGGCGGCAAAGGAGTCAGCAGCCGACGCGCCGCGCGACACGCTCCACCGCGACAAGCGAT